CTTTGTCTCTCCCCCCAGTGGCGATGTTCACTCTACACACCACGGCCTCTAGGCTAAGTTGTCCTGGGGGGAGGCCTAAGACAGCTTGTTCAGATAATTCGCTATCACTGGTAGTGGTGGTGAGCGGGTATTGAACTCGGGTCTCTGTCAGGTTCGTAGCACAGTGCTAGCCGCTGCGCCATCGCTCAACGGTGGACGCACGCAAACACACACACACGTACACACATGCACACACACATACGCACACACACACCTGCAGACGCACACACGCACGCAAAACATGCACACACACGCACGCACACACACGCACGCACAAACACACACACCTGCAGACGCGGTGGCCACGCTCGAGCCTCTCAGGGGGAAGGGCCTGGGTTCGATTAAAAAACTCGGGCGCCTTTCTGTGTGGAGTATTGCAGATTCTAACCTAAACTCAAAATATATTAAAAGTATATATATTTTTTTATTCACCAGGTAAGGCACATGGTATCTATATATAGCTCATTTACAGAATCGACCTGGCTATCACAAATGATAGCTCAGCCAAGTGGCTTATCATCGCGTGGGAATTTATAACAGCAGCCAAATACTCGAAAAATGCGACGTCGATTATAAATGTGGTAAATGGAAAAACTGGAAGACCCAGAGAAAAATCCACGCGATCACAATGGGGAGAGAGAGGCAAACTCAAAATATACAGCAGGCGTCAGGGTCAGGATCAAACCCATGACCGTTGCCGTCGTTGCCGTTGCTGCCTTTCCCCTCGCAGGGCGAGCCTCCATCAGGTGATTAAGGAAGCGGGCCAACAACTCATCGACATGGACATGGTGAAGACGTACACCAGGGGCATCCTCCTCTTCCTGTCCCACATCAAGTCGAGGGGCATCGTTCACGCGGACATCAAGCCGGTGAGTGGGTACGCACGTGGCGCTAAGGGTCGCTCATGTGACTTGGGTGCGGAGGTCAAATCGCTAATTTGGAATGAGGAGGTGGTGGTAGCGGTGGCAGGGGTCACGATACACCTCTGGTGAAGATGATCTGGTACGAGCGAAACCGCAGTGTGGAGAGTCGAGTCGCTAGTGAGGACTCATAGCGCAGAGAAATCCCAGTCACAGGGATCGCAGGGTCGATGCGTTATCTCCGTCTGATTCCCCTGTTTAGTACAGTCAGCCTCCGAGATATAAACATTCGCATTCACGCACGTCCATACTCGCGAACTTCCGCACTAATGAACGTCCACACTCACGAACGTCCGCAATTAATGAACAGACCGCCTTAAGACGTCTGACTCATGACGTGCAAACTGAACCGTGGAACTATTTTGTTCGGTGGAGCGATACTCTACAAAGATGTAAATAGTCTCAGCATCCCACGTGACCCACAACAACAGTGAAACCATTCCGACTCAATGTAAGTGAAAATAACACCAATTGATTTTTGCACTGTTACTGGCCAGAGGGGTGGTTCAAGGATTTGACGTTCGTTTGATGCATAATGTACAACATTTCATCTAATTTATGACTTCATCAGTGGAACCGCAACACATCTTATGACTGACTGTACGTACAATTAAATGGCGAGTTCCGACGTACGAACAAATCCATCTTTACGAATGGGTCTCAGGAACATTGCCCGTTTCATAACTCAAGGACTGCCAGTGTGTATAAATGTATTGTGGTGATGTGTCATCGATCCACTGCTGGCTGAATGCTATCCCCATAACCTCTTGAGTGTGAATCCCCTTGCTGCTTCTCCTCTTTGCACAGGACAACGTTCTGGTCAAAGACACCGTGGCTGGCACCGTGAGGGTCACAGACTTCGGGTGCAGCTTCTTTATGTACAGTCAACGTGAGTGGCGTGTCTTTACTAATAGGGTTTTCCCCTTTTTTCTGGCAACAAAACTGACACCTTTTGCAAGGAATCATGCTTACATTAACCACAATACCTGCAGTCAAATGCAAACAAAAAACAATACTCTGATAATTTATGCATTGTCTTTGAAACTGATTGGTCCGCACCAGAGACAGCTTTCTTTGGAGCCTAGTCTCATATGGTGTTCGACCAGATGACGCCAAAAGGCGTCATCTGGTCGAACACCATATGGTACTGGCAAAGGAGATCCCATGATGATGATGGCGTGTCTTTGTTATTTGTCTCTGACTCTGTATGTGTATGTGGGTGTCTGTGTGTGAGTGTCTTTGTGTGGGTGCCTGTGTGTGTATGTGAGTGTCTGTGTGTGGGTGTCTCTGTGTGTGGGTATATCTATGTGTGAGTGTATGTGTGTACATGTGAATGTGTGCTGATGATGTTGATCAACGCTCTTGAAGTTCCACAAAAACAAAGATCCCCTGTGTAGCCTAAACAGACTATATAGGCAAGCGGTGTTAGCGAGTAGCAGCTATGAAGGCCGGTACTACACACGAGGGGGTGGGTGGCCAGCACCCTTTGTCTTCCTAATGGCGATGTTTACTACACACGTCGCAACCAGGTACTCATTTGAGGCTCATTAGACCTATGAGAGGCCCAGGACCGGTTCAGATAATTGTCACCAGTGTTGATATCGGCTATGAGCGGAAATCAAGCTCGGGTCACCGGGTTCGTAATGCAGTGCGCAAACCGCTACAGCCACCTCTGCCCACACACACAAAGACAGAGACACACAGAGACACACACACGGTGAAAACAACAACGACCATTTGCTACTAAGTGACAGTGACGTCACCACGGCGCCTGTGTCAGGCTATGCACCTTCAGGCAAAATGTAGTGTTGAACGCAACGCTGGCAGGAGGCCACAGGACAGACCCCGCAGATGCCATGCGGTTTACTGACTAAGATGACTGACAGATGAGTGTATAGCTTTAACAGAATGTAGGACGAAGTGCTGTTAGCAAGTAGCACCTATGAAAGCCGACACGGCACACGATTTGGTGAGTAGCCAGCACCATGTCCGGCCAACTTCATCTCACTAGTGGCGATGTTTACACACCACACCAGGTACTCATCTGAGGAAGAGTCGACCTAGGGGAGGCACAGGATCGGTTTAGACAACCGTAACTGGCAATGAAGGGGAATCGAACTCGATCCTCCGCCAGAGTTCGTAGATCAGCGTATTGCTAACTGCTACACCACTGCTACCCAGCCACAGACATACGATGACACACACACACATGTACGTACACTGTATATATATTTATAGTTGTTATTGCTGCAGCCCCACACGTGGGTAGGACACGGTTCTACGTGGCACCGGAGCTTCTGCTGGGCTACCTTGTCACCTATGCCATAGACATGTGGGCCCTGGGCTGCACCGTGGCCGAGATGGTTATCGGCAGGGAGCTCTTCCCGTCACTGAGCAACGACGACCACCTCCCCTGCTGCATCGAGGTAACGGAGCAGGCGGTCCGGGGCGGTCGGGGGCAGTCTGGTCCAGTCTGGTCCGGTCTGATTTCTCTCTGCTAACAGCACTTGCCCCAAAAAAATCTGCTAACTAAACCGCTTTTTGTGTTTAGTTCGTTGTCCTTCCCCCACACCTCCAATTAGCACGGTTGGCTACGTATGGTCCGAAAGAAGTTCAATATACACACATACAAGGCTATATGGGCCTCTTTGTCTTTGTGCATACGGGGTCAAAGATCGTTGTCTTTTCACGCTGTGTGTACACAAGCTAAAGCCGAAGATTCCCCATATAGCTTATAACAGACTGTTGGGGCGAGTGCTTTTAGTGAGAACCTATAAGGGCAGGCACAGCACACGAGGAGATGGGGGGTCAACATCACGCCCGGCCTGCCTTTGTCTCCCCAGTGGTAATGTTTACACCGCACCAGGTACTCATTTGAGGCTGAGTCGACCTAGGGGAGGCTCAGGACCGGTTCAGATAATCGTCATTGGTGTTGGCCGTGAGCGGGAATGGAATCTGGGTCGCCAGTTTGATAGCGCAGCGCTAACCACGACACTACACACACACGCACTCAAATAGTCTACGTGTGTGCCACAGTGCCGGCCTTCATAGGCAGTGCTGCTGCTGCTAACTTGCTACTAAAAACCCAGGCTCTGTGGAGGCTAAGACTGTTGTGACCCTTTTGTCTCCGTCTGTAAACCCTGTGTCTGCAGATTCTCGGGAAGCCCCCAAGATTCTTGGTGGATGGAGCCCTCCACAGAAATCAATACTTTGGTGAGTTGAAAGATTGGTGGTGGGCGGGAGGGAGCTAAAACTATAAACTTTTTTTTTTACCAGTGTAAGGCCCCGACTGAGATTCATAGCTCTTGTTTCAGAAGCGACCTGGCCATCACAAGTGATAGCAGCTCAACGAAGTGGCTGATATCATAATCATCATGGCATGGGAATTTATAGTGGCAGCCAAATACTCTTAAATGTACAGTTATACAGACTTATACAGACCCAGAGACCTATACTCATAGAAACCTATAGAGATAGAGACGCATATAGAACCATAGACACCCACAGCAACCCACATTGTAGTGACATAGAATGGGTCACTACAGTGCGTAGCGCTGGTTACTGATAGAGAGGAAATATGGGCGTAACAGCCGACTTGCCAGCCGAGCATGGAATGCCACGGAGTGGCTCACTAGGGTCCGTGGCGCTGGCTGCTGGCAGAAAGGGGCATATGAGGACGTAGCACCCCGGCCGGCTGGCGGAGTACTTGATAGGCCGGGGTAAGGGATGTGGGGTAAAGGTGACTGAGGGGACACGTGCGGTATAGCCCAGACCCTTCTGGTGGGTTCCAGAAGGGGGCGTAGCCAAGGGCGGGGCCAGGCAGGGGACACATGGAAGGTGGCCCAGAACCTTTTGGTAGGTTCCAAAAGGAGGGCGTGGCCGGGGGTGGAGCCAGGCCACTCCGGAGGGCATAAAAGGGAAGTCCCGAGGCTGGATAGGGGCTGTCTGTCGGTGGAATGGAACCCAACGTGCTAAGTCTTCGTCTCCGGCGTCGTGGTTAAAACAGCGTGCCGGCTGCTCTGACCCGTTTGTAGTTATTTTGTGTGAACAGTGTCTAAAAGTGTAGAATAAACGTGTGTTGCCTCCTACTTATTAGTGTCTCAGAAGTGACTCACTACACTAACACTGAACTATTTTTATTTTAAAAGGTATAGGCCCCCCTGAGCTATGCAGCTCTTTTTTTAGAAGTGACCAAATTATAATAGCTCGACAGAAGTGGCTGATATCTGTATGTGGGAATTCATAGCAGCAGTCAAATACTCTTAAACGTGTGATGTTGATTCTAAATATGGAGGGTAATAAACCGGAGGACCTGGAGAAAAATCCACGCGACCACCAAGGGGAGAGAGAGAGACACGCAAACTTAAAATATACAGCAGGCATTGTCAGGGTTGGGATTGAACCAACAACCTCCTCCATACTATGCAAGGTAGTCAACATCTGCTAGCCACCGTGGCGCCCGGATTCAGTTTCACGGGGTGGCACTGGGGCTGTTGTTGTTTGGGCCACTTAGTAACCACCTGTGGTCATCAAGAACCAGACGGTAGGTGAGTGAGTGGGTAGGTGAGTACTTTGGTGAGTCGGTATGGTCGATGGGTGAGTGGTTGAGTGTGTCCGTAGGTGGGTGAGTGCGTGGGTATATGGGTGAGTGGGTGTTTGAGTGAGTGGTTACGTGGGTGAGTGGGTGTGTCGGTAGGTGTTTGAGTGAGTGGGTGTTTGGGTAGGTGGGTGGGAGCATGAGTGGGTCTGTAGGCGGGTGATTGAGTGAGTGAGTGCCAGTGGGCGTTCGACACTTCACGTGGCCTCAAGGTGCACATAGCCTATTCTAGATTTGAAGCTTTCGTGACTGCAAGGATTCATACTTTTAGGTTTTTTCGGTAAAGTCATGTAAGTGACTTTACCAACAAAACCTAACAGTATGCACATAGCCTGGCACAAGCGTCGTGGTGACATTACCACCACTTAATGGCGAATGGTGGTTGTTGTTGAGTGCGTGGGTAGGTGTGTGAGTAGGTCGGTAGGTGGGTTGGTGAGCGGGTGTGTGGCTAGATGAGTGGGTGAGTCGGTAGGCGGGTGGGTGAGTGAGTCGGTGGGTAAGTGGGTGAATGGGTGGTTGGGTCGGAACATGGGTGGGTGAGTGGGGGAGCGGGTGGCTGAGTGGGGAGTGGGTGGGTGAGTAGGTACGTGGATAGATGGGTAAGTCGGTAATTAGGTCGGTGGATGGGTGGGTGAGTGGGTAGGTGGGTTAGTAGATTAGTGGATGGGTGGGTCGGTAGGAGGGTGAGTAAGTGAGGGAGTGGGTGGGTGAGTGGGTGTTGGAGTGGGTGGGGGAGTGGGTGGGTAGGTGGGTGGGTAGGTCGGTAGCTGGGTGGGTTAGTGGGGAGGTGAGTGGTTTGCTGGGTAGGTGAGTGAGTTGGTAGGTAGGTGAGCGAGTGGGTTGGTGGATAGGTGAGCAAGTGGGTTGTTAGGTAGGTGAGTGGGTAGGCAGGTCAGTGGGCGACGTGGTGGTTGTTGACTCTATGTCTCTCTCTGTCTATCTCTTTCTCTGTGCCACCTGCAGACCGTCGGCGCAAACCGTACAGCCCAGAAAAGCGGCGGATACCGGGAAGGTACCCCCTGGAACGCATACTCTGGGGACACAGCCAACAGCTGATAAACTTCATCAGCTGCTGCCTGCGGTAAGAACCACACCCACCAACACCCTGCCACCCTACCATCCCCACCCACACCTACCCACCCCCGCCACCCCCCAACAATTACCGCCCACCCACGCCCATAGAGACACACAGAGACCCACAGTGACCAATACTCACAGAGACGCATACGGATCCACAAAGACCCATAGAGACACACATAGAACAAACGTTTAATGAACGTTACCACGCGTCTGTCCTTCCCCTTCCTTGATCCCTACCCCCTCCACCCCCATGCCCCTTCCCGCGATTCCTCCCCCTCCCTGCATCTCTCAACAGATGGGATCCCAAGATCCGCATGACGCCCGAACAGGCGCTGCGTCACAGCTGGCTGCAGACCACAGCCACGACCACCACCACCAGTGCCACCACCAGCACCACAACCACTAGGATCCCCAGCGCCACCACCAACACTGCCACCACCACCGCCACCACCGCCAGCAGCACCAACGCCACCACCGCCACCACCACCACTGCCAGCGCCACCACCGCCAGTGCCATCGCCGCCAGCACCACCACCAGCAGAAGGAATGCCAGCCACCACCACCACCAACACCGCTATCACCACCACCACCGCCACTCCTGGCTCTGGAGCTGCCGACCCACGGTAAGCCTCTCTCTCTGCTGTGTGGCATGGAGATGTTGACTTTCTCGCCTGGCATGCAGGGTCGTGGGTTCGATCCCGACCCTGACAATGCATGCTGCTGTATATTTGGAATCCGTGTCTCTCACTCTCTCTCTCTCCATGGTGGTTGCGTCCATTTTTCTCCACCTTTAGAATTGACTTCACGCGTTTAGAATATTTGGCTGCCACTATAAATATCCAGACGATGATAATGATGATGATATCAGCCACTTCGTTGAGCTGCTATCACTTTTGATAGGCGGGTCGCTTCTGAAAAATGTCTACATAGCTCAGTGGGGCATTACCTGGTGAAATAAAAAAAAGTTTACTTTCAGTATGGGACTCTGTGGGTTGCTATGGGTCTGTATTGTTTCATATGAGTCTCTGGATCTCTAAAGGTCTCTGTGAGTATGAGTATTCGTGGGTATATATGTACCTCTGTGAGTATGGGTCTCTGTGGGTCTGTACGGATCTCTATGAGTATGGGTTTATATGGGTCTCTGAGTCTGTAGAAACATGCATGTAGAGGATTTGGCTGCCGTGATGAATTCGCACGTGACAATGCTGATGATATCAGCCACTCGTTGAGCCGCTATCACTTGTGATGGCTAGGTTGCTTCACTGAAAGATAGCGACATAGCTCAGTGGAGCCTTACCTGGTAAAATAAACAAACATTTTTTCAGTTTTACAGTCAGTCAGTTAGTCCACCCACGGGCGATGGCGGGTGGTGGGGGTGCGAAAGAGACCTCTGTCTGTAGTCGCGGGATGCTCGAGCACTGCTGTGGTGCTACATCTCTCTCCACAGAGTGGAGCCGGAGCAGCCCCCATCATCATCATCAACATCCTCACCGCTGGCCCAGAACTTGGGAGAGAGGGCGGAGGATGTGGAGGAGGAGGTGAAGGAGGAGGTGGTGGCGACGGAGGTGGAGAAGAAGACAGGGGATGAGGAGGAGGTGGAGACAGAGAAGGAAGAGTCTGAGGACTGAGGAGGGTGACGAGGAGGACGACGAAGATGACGACGAGAAGGAGAAGGATGATGACAAGGAGGACGAGGAGGACGATGACAAGCAAAAGGATGACGACAAGGAGGAGGACAAGGAGAAGGATGACGACAAGGAGGATGACTAAGGAGGATGACAAGGAGGAGGACGAGGAAGACGATGACAAGGAGAAGGATGACGATAAGGAGGATGACAAGGAGAAGGATGTACGACAAGGAGGAGGAGGGGGAGGACGGCAAGGCACAGAAGGATGACAACAAGGAGGACGAGGAGGAGGAGGAGGAGAAGGTGGAGGAGGTGCAGCAGCAGCAGGAGAAGAGAAAGCGAGGGAACCTGGAGCGTGTGGGCAGGGCACTCCGCTCACTCCGCTCGCTTCTCCGCCGCATGCTGCGGTATGGTGGCCGGCCCACCACACAATAGGGGGTGGCGGTGGTGGTGGAGTCGGTGCCAACCACCACCACCACGAGCAGCCCACCACCCATCATCCACCCCCGCATGATACCACACACACACCACACACACAGACACACACTACACTCACTCACCACACTAACAACACTCACCACCATGGGACAGGCTGTGGCAGAAGACTGAAGAGCGGACACCAGAAATAGACTGGACACTGCACTCATTGCACTCACCACACGCACCACACACACACCACACGCACACACACTACACTCATCACACTGACCACACGCAGCACACGCACACTACATGCACGAACACCACGCTAACCACACTCACACCACACGTACACACACTACATTCACCACATGTGTAGTAAGTTCGAGGAGACGATGTCGAAGTTGAGGCACACTCTGTTTATTAACCCAGGGACAGGCACAATAGTTGAAGGGGTATCGGCCCCTTTCACCCGTACTATGGGAAACCCACCCTAGTACTAAGCCCTCTGTCCTGTTCCCCAGTCCTCCTCTACTGGGCTACGGGAGGCTGACTGATCTGGCCCTGGCAAGCACAGATCTCGGCACCAGCTAACCAGCCTTGCCCTGATAAGGGCAGCGGTCTGGAAGCTTTTGGGCCGCGCCGCTGGCTTACCCGGCTCGGCCCTTATAAGGACGGCGAGACCGGGGAGTCCCAGGGCCTAATCTCCGAGTCTTGGATCTTCACTGGTCAGCTTCGTGTCGAACTGCCTCGAGCTCTTTGGGTCTCCACCTTTTATAGGGATCACCTCCGAGGGCTGGGGGCGTGGGCAATAACGGCTGCGGACGTCGGTGTGACCACCCGTGTATGTGAGTGCCGACACCCCTGTGTTTGTTGTCCGCCGTTTCTCCCGTAATAATCCCTACATCACCCCCCCCTGTACAGCTCGCAGCCGTCCCGGCTGCAACAATCCCTCAACCCCCAAGAATAAAGATTAACACAGTCAACACACGTGTGCCTCGTAACAGTAACAATAACAAGAACAAGTGTAACAACAACCGATGGTCCCCTATAAAAACCCCCTCCCCAAAAATGCAACACATATACAGAACGCGGTTCGCCATCCCCACGCACAAGAAGCATCCATACACACACACACACAACAAAAAAAATATATATATATAATGAGCGGGTTCCGCAGCAACAGAACACGAGCGGAAAGCTATTCATAACAACCGGCGCGTTTTGGCACGAGTCCGTGCAGTCACAAGGGGCCGGCTTGGTAGAGTCGGTGGCAGGTGTCGCATCTGCAGGTGCCTGGTCGTCTGGCTTCCCGGACGTGCCAGCGCCGACCCCCACGGGGGAGGCTGGCAGCCAAGAGGGCTTCAGTCCTGGGGCTCCTGAAGACGGGACAGTCATTAGCGGATCAGAGGCTGGCGGTGACCCCGCCCTCCCGGAGTCAGTGGACTCCCCACATGTTCGGCCATTTTCGTGAGAGGAAGCGTGTGGAGCAAAAAATGGCTTTAACCGTGAAGGGTGCACAAACCACCGACGCTTCCCCCACTTAATGCGCACACATTGAGGCCGCATAACCTGCACAATTTCTATGGGGCCCCTCCATGGTCGCAACAACTTAGCCGAGGTGGCCAATGGCACCTGGGGGCAGTGCAACCATGCTCGGTCACCCGGGTGCCATTCGTGCGTGTGTGTCCGGCGCGATCGCAATCTCTCGTTTTGTTTCTGGCGAGAGTCAGAGTTTTGCATGGCCGCCTGCCGTGCCTCCGCCAACCGAAGGATGTTAAATTTAACATGGTCCGCGAGTTTGGATTTAGCATGAGGCGCGGCAATCGTCAGCTGAGTCGCGACAGGCGGGTCAACCTCGCGGCCATACATCAAAAAAAATGGCGAGAAACCGGTCGCCGCGTGAGGAGCCATCCTGTATGCTGCCAGGACTCCCCCGATCCGTAGATCCCAATCGGTTTGGGACTCAGATACCTGGTGGGATAGCATGGACGTAAGAGTCCTATGCAAGCGTTCCACCATCCCATCCGTTTGTGGATAGTAAGGTGAGGTACGAATTTTCTTTGTACCCAGAAGGCCACATACCTCGTGTAAAAGGGTACTAGTGAAATTCTTTCCCTGATCGGTCAACAACCGTTCCGGAGCGCCCTTGTCGAGGACGTAGCCCTGAACAAAAGCCTCCGCAACGGCTGCTGCGGACTGGTTGGCGAGGGGCCAAGCCATAGGCCATCGCGTGAAATATTCCACGCCAACCAGCAGGTACTTATTACCTCTCGGCGTGGAAGGAAACGGTCCCAAAATATCAAGGGCGACCAGCTCATTAACCCGGGTGACCGAAATAGACTGGAGCGGTGGACTGGCTCCCTTTGCTGGCGGCTTCCGTTGTGCACACTGGGTACAGGACTGCAGCAGATCATCCACGTCTCTTGCCATGCCCGGCCAAAAGTAATTAAGCTGGAGCATGGCAAGTGTTTTGAGGGTACCCAGGTGCAGGAGCCGTTCATGAGCAGCCCATACAGCCCTACCCCTCAACGTGGAAGGCACCACCAGCCTGTGACGGCGGATCGTCCCGTCCCAATGCATGAGTAGGCCCTGGCACCACCCCCATGAGTCAACGCCCGACTTCCCTTGACCTGATCCTTCCGCGCGACGTCAGTAGCGCCAGGAGGGTCGCATCCTCCATTTGGAGGCGACCCCACTCAGCACTTGACAAGCCTAGTAGGGAATCTTTCCCTCCCCCCGAAATAGGACCAGCGTCCGAAGGGGTGTCAACTGCGGCCGCAAGAACCCGATCCCGGTCGTCACTTGCCGATTTGCAACGGCCCGAACCCAAGAAACAAGTGCAATCCGGAGCGATCGGCAGGCGTGATAGGGCATCAGCATTGGTGTGGCGAATCCCTTTTCGGTAAGTTGTCTCTAAATCGAAATCCTGCATGATCTCCAGCCATCGGGACAACTGCCCCGATGGCTGGTTAATTCGTAGGGCATACTGCAACGCCGCATGATCTGTACGGACGGTGAAATGCCGGCCGTACAGATATGGTCGGTACTGTTGGATAAAGAACACGATAGCCAACAGTTCGCGGTGGGTGACGCAGTACCGCTGCTCGGCCGGAGACAATACTCTACTACCATAAGCCACAACGTGCTCCACGCCACCCACAATTAGTGACAGCACGCCTCCAATCCCGGTATTGCTTGCGTCCGTGTCGAGCACGAAGGGCATGGAAAAATCGGGGTAGCTTAACGGCGGGGCCCCCACCAGGGCATCCCGAAGAGAGATAAAAGCGGCGTCCTCCTCCGGCCCCCAATGAAATTTGACCCCTTTTGACGTTAAGGCATGTAGTGGCTTAGCGATGGAAGCAAAGTCCGCGACAAACCGGTGGTAATATGAAGCAAATCCGATGAAGCTTCTAACCTCCCCCACCGAGGTGGGAGTAGGCCAGGAGCTGACACAACGCGTTTTGGCGGGATCGGTTGAGATGCCTGACCGGCCGACGATGTGACCCAAATATTTAACAGATTCGCGCAGCAAATGGCACTTTTGTGGCTTGAATTTCAAATTAGCAGCGCGCATCTTGAGAAAGACGGCCCGAAGCCTATCAAGATGTTCCTCGAACGTCTTACTGAATATGATAACGTCATCCAGGTAGATCAAACACACCTCCCATTGCAAGCCAGCGAGGACCAATTCCATCAGGCGCTGGAACGTCGCGGGAGCAGAGTGTAATCCCATGGGTAAGCGATTGAATTGGAAGAGGCCGTGCGGCGTTCGGAAAGCTGTTTTGGGCTTAGATTCGTCGTCCAAGGGAAGTTGCCAAAATCCTGAGAGCAAATCCAAAGTGGAGAAGAATCGCGATCCCGCGAGGGCATCCAGCGAATCGTCCATTCGAGGAAGCGGATAAGCATCGGCCACCGAGATCTTATTTAATCGCCGGAAATCGACACAGAACCTTAGGGACCCATCGTGCTTTTTAACCAACACTATGGGTGCACCCCAAGGGCTGGTCGAGGGAGAAATGATGTCAGATTTCAACATGTCATCTACAGCCGATTTGACATGATCCTTTTCGGTGGGACTTAACCGAAAAGGATTTTGGCGGATAGGAGCGTGGTCACCGGTGTCAATATGGTGGCGTAGCAATTTGGTACATCCGATATCGTATTTATGTTTACTGAAGACGTCGGAAAATTCTCGCAATAAGGCGCGTAATTTAGCACGTTGTGCGTCGGACAGGTCAGGTGACTCAGCACACAACGCTTCCAGCCAACCCTCGTCAGTGTCTGAGGCTAATCGCGTTTGAGAATCGGTGGCCACCTGGCCAATGATCGGCGTTTCCGCAGGTACCGGAACCGCATGTGCGAACACGGTACCCTGCGAAACCACCGCCGTCCGTGTCCCGACATTGAGGACCGCGATAAATGGGTCCCCATCCCCTTTAACAATAGTCTGGGCCGTCACCAGATCTGGCCCACTCACCCCGGCTCTAGATGGTCCCAACATAATGCCCCGGTCGGAGACCCCTTTATCGAACGGTCGACGCAACCGCAGGGGTACTAGCATCTGTGCCCCCGGGGGTACACGCACCGTCCGAGCAACGAGCGCCTGTACCGTAGCACAGGCAGTATGCAAGGCAGGGGTGGAAGGCAGGAACGTAATACGTCGGCCCAATGGAAGCTCGATGCATCGCTGGTCAATCAGAATTTTGATGGGCAATTTGGCCAAAAAGTCTGTCCCCAACAGGCACGGAATAGCCAGCGAGGAGGAGACGAACACCGGGCCAGATAGTTTAATGTCCCCGATAGAAATTTGTGCTCGAATTTGGCCGATAATACCCAACGAGCCCCCATTTGCAGCGTAAAACGGTATGTCGACAGGGAGCAACGGGCGACTCTGAACGGGCAGGATATTATAAATCAAATCCGAAATGATAGTTGCCGAAGCTCCCGTATCGACCAGTACCCGTACCTCCACCCCGTCAATATGCCCCGTGACAACGGACGACCCCGCCGATGCAGCCACGACCCGGTGAGCCAACTCGGACCATTGGCCCGGTTGGAGCGCCCTCCCCGACATGCCGCGACCCGACGCACCAGCACCCAAACCCCGAGAATCGTGTGTCGGACCTTGTGAGAGGAAAGTGGGTGTGTGTGCAGGCCGAACATGTGGGGTGCCATGACTTGCCCGAGGATGTTGCGAAGGCTTGTGGGGAGGGCCGTCCGCAGCTCCAGGTCTCGCTCCGCGCTGTCGAGGAGCCCGGCATCCGGACGCCACGTGGCCCCGGAGGCCACAATTGTAGCAGACGACGAGCGCTCCAGAGGACTTGGGCTGATCTCGGTGGCTCGGAACGTCCCGAGCCGGTCGCTCGGCAGATCGCCATCCTGCAGAACGATCCGCAGCGAAGGCCACCTCCATTCCGGAAGAGGTCGCCGCCACGGTGTGTCGTGCAGCTGCTTTGTTTGCCTTCCTCCGCTGGGAGATGAGATTGGCGTGAATGTGCCTTGCAGCCCGCAATGATGACATATCCGCATCATCCTGTGCTAGGATGATGAAGTCCAAATCGTCGGCCAGCAGCAAAATTTTCTCGGCCACCATCGCATCGATCCCTTCTTCGTCCATACGCGGGAAAGCGTCTTTCGCCAATGACAGCAGGGCCGTGCGATAAGCAAGTGGCGATTCCTTGTCGCCCTTCTGCCGTTCATAGAAGAGCTGGCGACAATCGGAAGGCGGCCCATAAACCATGGCCAGCAGCTGCAGCGCCGACTGAATCGTGGAGCGTGCCGACTTGGGTGCAGCGGTGAGGGTGCCCAGGGCG